AACTTTACTAAAGCATACATATGTATATGTATATGTATATATATACATATATATATTTATATATATATATATATATATATATATATATATATACTTTATAATACTAGCATAGACGGCCTTGTCTGTCTTAATGTTTGTCTGCAAATCCTGAAATGATTAACAAAACTCAATATCTTCTTTTTAATTTATCTTTAGTGATTTATTTCTATTAACTTATTTCATCTAATCATTCCAAAGTTTAAAGGAAATTTATAAATTATGTTTAATTTAATTTAATAAAATAATGGATAGCATTTCAAGATGGATGGTTGCGTGATGAGTTTCCGGGTTTATCAAATTAACTTTTATTTAATAATGCAAGTTTGCGTGTTGTAGTAAATGTGTTTTTATGTTTAGCTATTAAAGTTACTTGTTTATGACAACAATATGATTCTTAATTATTTACCAACTACTTACAGGATACAGGTACTCCATGTGAAGATACATTTACAAGGATGCAGTCTTTCGTCATGCATTCACTAAAATAAAAACATAAGCTTGGTAATAAGCATATTACGTATAGTATACTAATGTTCCGGAAATTCCTTATTTCTCTTGTATATTATAGACAAATAAAAAAATCATAGACTACAGTTGATAATAAAATTTGCAATAAGGTGGCGCTCTCTGTATATATATTTATGTGTACGAGGTAAGTCAGTAGTAGTTTATGCTTATTGCTATGTGCCAGTCAGGTAACAATTGCTTATCAATAGATATTTTATAAAATGCCTGCGGACGTTTTCGTTCATTAAGGTATTTCATTTAATCTTCATTTATTATGTTTGATTTTATTAAAATAATTATTTGAAAGGAATTTATTTCCGGGTATAGTCAATAATCGATTCGACGACATGTTTGGTCCAGTTTATAGTGACTCTACTTGCTGTGCCAGCGGTCGCGGGTTCGAATCCCGCTGGGGGCATTTATTTGTGTGTTGAGCACGAATGTTTGTACTCCAGTCATGAGTGTTAATATTTATAATATGTACGTATTTGAAGTTATACATATATGTGTAGTGTATCAACTATCTGGTATCCATAACATAAGCCTCGTAGCTTACCATGGAACTAGATGGTGCTGTGTGTTAATGTCCCAAAAAAAAAATATAATTTGGAAATTATTATAAGTAAGAATCATCACCATTGCATGTAAAAAATATATAATTTATGTACGTATGTTTACTTCCAATGCATACATTATTCAAATTCGTTATAGGAATAACTTTGGTACACAAAACCATTTATATTTCAAAGAGAAATATTTCAGCCATGGCTCAACAGCCTTTCAAAGGAAAGCAATTGCGTTAACAAATTTAATTCAACACGCTGTATATGCGCACATTGCGTTAGTTTGTGCCACGATATGGCTTATGCTAATAAAGCCAGCCTCTCACTGTAATTGAAATTTAACTTCTAACGTTTAGATATAGTGATTTTATGTAAGCATGCTTAGGTATATATTTATGATGAAGCAGGTAGTATGTAATCTGTTGTCGTTTCTTTTTATTATATTTTTTCTATACCATATACAAGTGGACGTAACGGAAGTTGGTTATCTAATGTAACGTTGTGATTTTGGGAAGAACCTAATGAGCTTTAAATATTATTTTTACTTTAACAATTATTGCAAAAAGGAAAGTATTTATATGTTAACTTGTAATATAGTTATTTTCTTGAAGATGTCTTAAATATTATATTAAAGTCACTTAGGTGACGTAATACGTCTTAGAGGGGAAAAAATCAAAGTGGATCATCCAAAAAAAGCTAGAATCGCGACGAAATCTTTGTACTGGTCCTAGAAACGAATGAAATGTTGTGAGCTTTAATAAATCGAAAGTCTACTCAAAAATATGTAACATAATTTATAAGTGTAAGCTTATCAGAATAAAGATATGTTTTGCTTTTGATGATCGAATATCAAGAAAATTCTAATTTTTACTCACACTACTCGGTTGATGCCAAGTAATGCTATAAGAAAAGTGGTTTAAATTAAAAAAAAAAAAATATTTTTAGTAAATAGGTATAAGGCCTATCAACTCAATTTCTCGGAACAAGTTGAAATATACTTACGATAAAAGTTGCGTCTTATCCCATTTTAAGTAAAAAAGTAAATAAAGTCAGTGAAGAAGGCAATCAAAACTTATGTAAACAGATTTTCGGCGCTTACGACTCCTTCGTGCTTACTCACATTGCAAGATAAAATCCCTTGTAAATACGAGTACAAGTCTTTAATATGATTCATCTTTAACTAACGATAAAGAACGAAAATATAAAAAAATATAAATATGTTTATGTATTATATTATAGGTATTAATAAAATTACTTATATAAAGAAGAAAGCCTTTAAATTCATTTACTTCTTTATTAACCGACTTCCAAAAAATAGGTTCTGAATTCGTCGGAATCTTTTTTTATGGATGTTCACCGATTAGTCGTGCCAGCCTGTATACAATATTTTAAGATATGAATATCTAATAGGTAAGTATGTATTTTATGTATCGACATGCATTAGATTTGCTTTGCATCGGCTGGCACCGACTTCGAAAATATCTGATTAGATATCTACTCTAAATGAAAACCTCCGTTTAGTTATTTTTTACATTTTTGTGCCTGGAAGTCGGTTATAATTTTTTTATTAATTTTCTTCTAAAAATAAAGAAACCTTTATCTTTAATAAATAATAAAGGTGCCTTTAGTATAGATTTCTCAGATCGCGGCGAGTTTTTAGGTACCTACCTACTATTTTACATTTGGCTTGGCGTCGACTTTAAACATATCAATAGGCAGCACATACAAATAATAATATTATTTGCATAAGAGGTGTATTAAGTTAAATCTTTATTAAGTTATTTTATACTTTTTAGTTTTGAAATCGGGTTTTTTTAAACGTAGTTTTTTTTTATTAAATTGCTGAAATTTTGTGTATTATGTAGATATAGATTATAGTAAATAGAAATGCATAGAGCGACAAAAATACGAATAATTTTTACTTAAATTTATAGTATTTTTGATACCCAAGTCTTGTACAACCACGTACCATAAATATTAATCTAAGATTTTTGCATGTGAAAATGTCAAATATGAAATTTCCATATTGACCCTCCAGCATAAATCACGATGGATAGGATTATGTCGACTGTATTTTATGTCGCATCCACAGTAGGGCCGATAAAATATGGTGTACTTAGTCTAAGTAATGCGGGAATGATGAATTATTTATAATTTCATTCTTCAGAATAACAATATTTAATGGGTTTGTTCGCTGTTCGGTTCCAGTATCTTTATGAATTTTAATATCTTTTGTGTCCATTTTAGCTCAATTTTTGATTGGCATATTTCCAGCTTTAGAATATTTGTACGCTCGTGAGTAGAATATTGTTTTATAAAGGTAATAGATGAATAATTTTGTTTTATTCAATACAAAATTCAAATAAAGTTACTGTACAGGAGTTAATTTTGGTTTTTCATGGAATGATAGAAAACGGTCTGGTTGATGTTTACATATAGAAAATGCATAATAATGGAATATATCGACTCTTTTATTATTTGTTATAGTATTATATTAGAAGACATCTAAAATAACTTGATCTTGTCGTATTCTAGGATAGCTTTTAAGTTTAAAACTCACTGCAAACTTGGCGTTCAGAAACTACTAAGTAAATGTTATGAGCTGTAATTGAATCTTGTAACACGTACTTAGTTCATAAGAAGACTAAACTACGTTTCAAATATTCCTCGTGACAATTATTTAATTTTGTAAAGTTTCTTGTATAGAATACAAGTATCTTTAGATACTAGAATTGCCTCCGAACTCGCCAACCAATCGATTAATTATATTATTTTGCCTGAAAACTTTCTTTAAATAGGTAAGGAATATCTGTAAACTAATTGGGCATAAAATGTAAATGTTGAACTCTTTAATTTATTTTAAATTACAAAATTCATGTACAATATGGAAGCCAAAATCAGAAAATATGTATTTATCATGCGTAATAATTCATTTGATAGATTCTCGTTAGTACATTTCAATACGAAGTCTCATTACTATGTTTTGGCAAAAATATTTTACTTACATATTTGTCGATTTATTATGATGGCTTATTAGATGAAATCTATAGGTACATATAATAAAATTGTAACTAAGCCGAATCTATACATCAAATATTTTTTGGAAAATCTTATTGAAATAGACATTATTATCCATATAGAGGCCGAATCTAAAGTTTTTAGAATTTTTATCTGACTGTCTGTTACCGCATCATAGAAAAACCACTGAAGGGATTTTGATGCTATTTGGTATGGTGATAGCTGGTTATCTGGGTCAACATATAGGATACTTTTTACCGCGCGAAAATGTCCTATTTCTGAGGAAAAATACAAAAAGTGCAATGTTAGAGTATACTTATACGTAAAACATAAGAATTTGATTTTTGGTCATCTGAACGCGGGCGGGGCCGCGGGCAATGCTAGTATATTATATTAAAGTCCTAAGCGTATACTTACAAATACGTTTTTTACACAAATTGAGGCATAAGTAAATAAAAAAATAAAAAAATCTTTAATCCCCCCACGACGGACACGCCGGCGTTACAGTTAACAATAGATTTCTTAGAAATTTAATTAATTTCTTAAAATTTACCTGGAGGTGTTAATGCACAAAACAATATTGATGAACTTGCATTTTCATTAAAATAATATCTACTGTAAGTCGTCTGAATTACATTAAATCAAAACCAGGTAGGATAAGAACTATTGTGTTTGTGAACGAAAATATAATTGTATGTATTACAGTCTTAAAGAACGACATCGCTCGCCAAGTTGAGAACGCTATCTCAAGTATTTTTTTACAGGTACAGAAAATACTTGTTTTTTTCACTTACTACCCATTTTATTATCATAACCCACCAGTAGTAAAACAAAATGCATAATTGAATATTTTTGCCACAAAATTTAAAATAGGGAGATTTCATAATAATAAACGATAAACTCGTGACTCCTCGTGGCGAGGTTTTAATGAGCGGCGACACTATCGACCTGAAATCTTCAGGACGCCTGTTTGGAGGAAGCATCTTTGATGCAAGGGAATAGTTCATAATATATTTAGACCACCGTGCTGACCAAATACGTTTATGATAATATCTCCCGAAAACGAGTAAGGTTTTCTCAGATACTTAGGTATTTTTACATCTTAAATTTGCTAGTTCCAGGGTTTGAATTTACAGCGAACGCGCTCCCAAATGGTTGCCACTTGAATATAGTACAATATAAACAAGGCTCAAATAGTACTGAGCTACATATTATATCCATAGCTTAAACGTAAGCTATATGCTTGCCAAGGAACCTGGTAAGTTTATTAGCATGCTCTTAGCAGATGGTTCCGTTTTGTACCAATTATATTAGATATTAAATTTTCAGCACCATAAATAAGTCAAGTGAGATGTCACGATGCTCTCTGAAAATTTAAAATATTGTCTGAAAAAATAAAGATAAATAATATGAAATTTTAGTACTTTCGCAAGTTTTATTTACTGCTAACTTTTTACTGTCGCTCCGTGCTCACCTTACGACGATAATAGCAGACCTTGTAATTTTCACTTGAATCTTCTCCCTCCCATTGCAAATCCAGTTAAAATTCTATTTTTCTTTTGTTCTTTATTCCACGTTCACGTCCTATCATCCTTCATCCACCAACAATAGTTACAAAATTGTGATAATGCGAATTCTAAAAAATCTTTATATTTTGGAAAATCTATAGGTACATATAATAAAATTGTAACTAAGCCGAATCTGTACATTAAATATTTTTTGGAAAATATTATTGAAATAAACATTATTATCGATACAGAGGTCGAATCTATAGTTTTTAGAATTTTTGTCTGTCTGTCTGTTACCGCATCACACAAAAACCACTGGAGGGATTTTGATAAAATTTGATACGGTGATAGTTGGTTATCCGGGTCAACATATAGGATGCTATTTACCGCGGGAAAATGTCTCATTTCTGAGAAAAAATACAAAACTTCAATTTAAGAGTATACTAATATCTTGGTCATCTGAATGCGGGCGGAGCCGCGGGCAATGCTAGTAAAATATAAATACTCGTTATAATAGAATATTAAGGAAATGTCTTATATTGGAGTTGCCTTTCGTTAGTTATAAGAGACAAAGAATATTACATTACTGTTATTAATGATGTGAACATAGACAGTAGAGGTGTGAATATAAGGCTGAGAATCCACTGGATGCATGTGTATTACATATAAATATTTTCGAATAACTTCTATTTTGACGTTGATATAAGTAGCACATGAACGAATTAATTCGCTCATGAAGTAGCATTAAAATGAAAATAAAAATTATGTGCCTTAAAATTTAAGTATTCCAATTTATTTCAAAAAATTCTTTTAAATTGTTAGATTGAAAGATTTTTTTTGATTTTGCATGATTACACACAATTAACGTTGAAAGAAAATATACGTATTAGAAGAGTTTACGCTATTATGTTAAATAAGACCAACGTCCGGCATTAAATATTCTCTTTATGAGTCTTTAAACTTACAAACATCATGGTTAGTCACTCTACTATTTATTGTAAATCTAGTGTCTACTAAAATCAAGAAAAGATAAAAAAAATTTTTTAACAAATAATGCCTTGTTTAGTAAAGCAAAAGCTTTATATACAAAAAAGAATATACTTAGTAATCGCCAGAGATTTGAGGGTTTTTAATGGAACTCAAATTTCAAATTAATTAAGTCTTTTAATCCAATTCATTTCACTGGAAATAAATTTATTAGGTAAATGTATTACCGTCTCCGGGACCGAAATTCAAATGATAAAGGTTTTTTTTATGAGCCCTTTGAAGTGAATTCATAAAGCTTTGTATGAAATAATCTTGAGATTAAACTTTTAACGCACAGTTAAAAAGACCAAGTTTCAAAATTTTAACTGCGTTATGTTTTTTTTTCATTTCTACATATAATCTGTTTTTCTAATTGTAATAAGGTTATATTTTTTCATATAAAGATATATATTTATATAATTATATAGATTCGTTAGAGTTACGTTTTAACGCTAAGTATAGATTTCTCAGAGATGAGATATTTTCCCGCAGAAAAAAGTATATTATGTTGACCCGGATGATCAGCTATCATCATATCAAATTTCAACAAAATCTGTCCAGTGATTTTCTCGTGATGCGGTAACAGACAGACAGACAGACAAAAATTCTAAAAACTATAGATTCGGCCTCTGTATCGATAATAATGACTATATCTATAAGATTTTCCAAAAAATATTTAATATACAGATTCGAACCAGTTAGAATTTTATAAAATGTTATTTAATCTATAGCGAAGTGATATACAGATATAATAATCTAAAACACATTTATATTTATAAAAATTACCACTTTTATGGTATTTATAAAGGCATGAAGGCTTAAAAGTATCTTCCTTGATAACAGTATTTATTATTGTATTGCCAGGTTTGTCTGATCAACTACAACTACAAGGCCTGCAAATCAACTATTAGCCATAAAACTTTTTAAAGGTCAACATTTTAATTTAAAGGGATCAGTAGAAATGCGAGACGAAATAAAAAATTTCGTTAGCGATCTCCCGTGGGACAGTAATGCGAGTTTCAGCCAAAAATATTATTTAAACCGTAATTGCCATCCTATTAGCCAATTACAACATCCCGAGCCTTGTTTTTTATCGTTTTAGATATTTTTAAGCTAATATTATAACAAAGAAAATCTTAGCAAATAAATAGATTATATTGGTACATTTACATACGAGTATGATGCCGTAGATGATAAAACATTTTAATATAGATATTTCTCTAAAATATTAATAGTATTAAAAATATACATATATAGTACTAGCGACTCACCCTCGCTTCGCTCGGGTTCGTCCCTAGCTTGATTCCCCATACAAACTTTCATCCCAATTTTCACCCCCTTTAGGGATGATTTCCGGGATAAAAAGTATCATATGTCATTTTCAAGGTCTCAAACTATCGCTTTACCAAATTTTATCTAAATCGGTTTAGTAGATCCAGAGATTACCCCATACAACGTCACAAATTCACAATTCATAAACTTTACCTCTTTATAATATTAGTATAGATAATACAAAGAACAAAAGTAAAAAAAAAATCATGAGCATTTCTTCATGATATGAAAGATACTGAACAACGTTTATAACACCACGTACCTTCCGTTATTCGTTTGATCAGATTTCCATAATGCAATATTCTTGCACACGATATCTCTGGCCAAAGATAGTCTCCTGCCAAGAAAATGTTGGCACCGAAGTCGACAAGCAAGAGTCTTACACAACGGTTAGTTCTCAATTAAGTGTTGAACCTCGAACCTTCGCACACTCGATACAAGAATAAATTGTCAGGATTAACAATGGTCAAGACAACATGGTAACATACATGTTGTATGGTTCTAAGATCCAAATTTTTGAATAATTTCAAAAGGGGTCCTTTAAACATTTATCAAATATTTCTACATCTATACATATAATAAACTTGTAACTAAGCCGAATCTGTACATTAAATATTTTTTGGAAAATCTTTTATTTAGATTTTTTATCTGTTTGTCTGTCTGTAGCCGCATCACAGTAAAACCACTAGAGGGATTTTTAATGAAATTTGGTATGGTGATTGCTGGTTATCCGGTTCAACATATAGGATACTTTTAACCGCGGGAAAGTCTCTCATTTCTGGGAAAAACTACAATGTAAGAGTATACTAATATGTAAAACCTAAGAATTTGGTTTTTGGTCATCTGAACGCAGGCGGAGCCGCGGCTAATGTAATGTTATTTTAGTTATATCTTAAAAGTAAACTTATATATTTTTCGGTTTTATTCAGAATGACTGCACTGTTTACAATGGGATTTTCATTGGAGAGTAGAGAATTACGGCCAGAAGGACAAAGATTTTAATATATATTTTATTTTTTAATCATGATTTATTTAAGTAATATTATTTTAATAATAATATTATGTTCACGTAAGGGTAGAATTTTTATGAGATAGCACGAGGTGTGGTATGGGCGGAAGCGAGTGAGCGACTGGCTCGTAATAAATACAATATTAAAGACATGTGACAAAGTTGCTAAATCATAATCTGTTGCATGTTTACACACAGAAAGCCGGGCTTTCTGGCTTCGGTAGTCATAAAATTAATTTTGTGCTTCAATATCTCCGACGTATTTCCAGTCCAATTTACTGTACACTTTTCCAATATCTCGTTGAAACTTTGTAAAGTTCTGTATCTAAGGGATCTCGTGTACAAAGGCACAAATCAGAGTTTCTATGAAAGCGTTGAGAAACTTCCGAGATGTTAATATGACTTTCATATCGTGTTTATAATATTGTCGTTTTCAGTTTACACAATATGTGTATGATTTTCTAACAAAGTTTGTTATTATGTATCATATACATACAAATATATATTTTATAGTATAGTCTTTGCAGTTTTTTGCCATAGACCTTTAATTAAGTATTATAACTATACCATATTATTTGCTACTTTTATGTTTGTTAATTGCTTGATTTGGTCTTCTTTTGGCCAAAGAATTATATATATATATATATATATATATATATATATATATATATATATATATATATATATACACGTAACGGAAGAATAAAGTCTAAACAAAGTCCGAAAGCCTCAATACTCGTTCTCGCGAGTTGCCAGTTTTGTGATGAATACATAAAGTGTAATGTAATAAAAAAGTAAGGTACAAATAATATTATCAAGTGCTGGCCATCATTGAGATCCTCCTATAGGCAGTATCAAAAGTTCACTAAAACTAAATGCATTTTTCATGTCGTGAGGGCAACTTTGTCTGAAGTTTGCAAGGTACATTCTATAAATCTATCGTACACACTGCACACTGCTTCCTATTTGTAATATTGTAAAAACAAATTAAAAATACGCTTTTTGCACGAACTAAAATTATAACATAATTAAATTGTAGAGTAAACGCAAAAATTTTTTTTTTTTATATACGGGATGGATGATAGATACCCAAGGTAATTATTCATCCCCATTTAGTGTCCGGC